AAAAACATTTTCATGTACTGAAGATATGTTGATCTTGTATTAAAAGAAATGAGCTTAGTCAAAAACTTTTTCAGTGGAGACCTTTTGAATCCATACAGATACATTCAGGATAGAGATTATGGTAGCTTAACTGCAACAGAACTTTTTGAAAAAGAAAAAAAAAAACAAATGTGTTGGCACACATATCCCAATTTTGCTATCACCATAAAACAAAAGGGAGATCCGCATTTGCTTCTTACCTCACCCTTTATCTGAAGTCCAGATAAACTCGGGCATACCACTGCCCCCTACACGCCAGTTCTGATGCCCATAGAGTGGCCACAAATCTTTACTTCAGAGGAGCAAAGAGTCAGAGGAGTAGAGTCATGCTGTCTTATCGATGAATTCACGTTTGCAAGGTGAAGCCATTATAAAAGTATCACAAAAACATCCATGAATACAAAACAAATGATGTGAGAATTCATTTCAAAACCTTCCCATGTGTAACATGTTAATTTCTTCAAATTACATTACTTTATGGTGTTTCTCACAAATCTTTTCTTGCCTTCAGAAAACTTGAGAATACACATAAAACTCATTATTTACTGCACCAAGCCTTTGGTAATAAATGCAGTATATCGCTATTAACTGTTATTATGGCTAGCTCCGAGACTACTATTTTTCTAGCATGTCAGCAAGGTACAGAGAATTCTTTGACCCAAGTTATTAACCAACATCATTTACTAACTCATCAAGAGAAACCATTGAAATGTAAAAATTACTTCAGTCCTGTTTAAAGCCAAATTAAAACAGTGATGAATGAGCTTCAGAAGCCTTGTTGTTATTATTCAGATTTATTTCAACACAATATAAAAGTATTTTAATCTTTCTTACAAGGTATCATTCTCCAGCCAAGCTTGTACAAACCTATTCTCGCCTTAGAGCCACCAACCATAAATATGAAACAGAGCTTGTGTTCTCCGTTCCTTTTCCTGAGTAACATCAAATCCTTCCTTTTCAGCACTRCTTGACGTGACGACAATTTTGCTTATTTTCTCTTCCAGGAAGATACTTTGCTTCTTGTAAAACATCTCCCTTTCAAGTCCACATATCACTCTCACAATACTGTATTACATATCTACTTTTCCTCTTAATAACCTTTATTGTTCCTTTGCATCCTAAAACACATTCTCCCCTGGGACATATTTAAGTTCCTTACAGCATCTCCCTGTATGTTATGAAACTCAAGAATGCAAATGGCTTCAATGCAATATACACAAAGAGAGGAAAAAGATTTTTAGTAGTGGCTAATAAAGAATTTAGATACAAACACCACACTACTACTACACTGTTACTACTACAAGTTAGGTGGCTAAGCCAGGAGAACAACTATTTAATGTTTCCCCATTTACTATGCTCTTCSCTTGACTGTCAAAGAGTGACTTAATGGACCTTTGGTCAGTCCCAATACTTGTTCTCAGACTAGCTCTCAAGCTCAAAGCTCCCCATTTCACTTGCCATCACAGTACATATCCCGTATCTTCACAAAGCATAAAATGTCAAAATCCTACCCAGCAAACTTCTSAAATCTGAAAGAACACCCACCACATCTTCAGTTCACGGTTGTAAAGACCATAAGAGCGTAAACTATTAGAAACTTTTGACAGGACAGTGAGAAGTTTTTTGGTAGAAAATAATCCATCCACTCACCTGCCCTATCGGTACTTACTTTGTCATTGTCTCCAGTGTAACAAAAGACTTACAGGCACAAGTGATAATAGCTTTCAATTGCCCAGTCTGGACTGTCATGAGTGTAACAGTCAAATTCATGTCAAACTGTCTGTTCAAAACTGCTTATAAATAGAAAGGAGCTATTTAAAACATGGCTGTTTGTGACCTAAACTGACTGGTAATGTTATTTTAACCTTCTCAGCCAGATTTCAAAGAAATTTAAATACATTCTGCCTAAAGTACAACAATTTTTCCAATAGCGAACCAGCAATGAGTGCAAAATTTCCTCTGATGCTATTCCAAACAAATAATAAAATAAATGTACAAACCCACTCCTTCTGAAAAGAAAGAAASAAASAAACAAACAAAAGACATATTATTTGAGTTTCTGAGTTCTGTGCATGCACTGCTGACAAGGCAGAAATAATGAAGTCGTATCTAGAGAGTTATCAACATTTAACAGGTTATTGGTCTGGTCATACGTTACACGTTTTAAGTGCAATTWAAAAATTTAAAAATCAGAATTACAGTACTTTACAATGTCAAAAGGCAGAACTTAATTTAACTTTATAATTCTAGAAACAGTAGCTTGAATACCAAGTGAAGCATTTCACATTTCAAATGAGGTATTCCATAATCATTGAGCTTTTTGTTACTTTTAAAACTGCAGTTTAGTTTCTAAGGCAGTAAAGTGCATTGCTACATGGAATACCTTTTTTATTTTTTTTAAAAGAAATAGACTTAAGAAAAATTATTTCAGATGGAATTTTGTTATTTAAAGGAAAGTATTCAGTGAAGCATCTATTACATAAGCCTAAATAACATATATATTTACAAAATAAAATATGATCTTTTTAAAARGCACATTTACCTAATTCAAAAAACATTCCTAGTAAAAAATCAAGCAAGTCTTTCTTCTATAGGTGTTTTATTTATTTTGTTCTCATTGTGCCACAGCACATCTGAAGAGAAGTAAAAATCTGTACCAAGCTGGTACTAGTAAGGAAATCTTACTAGGAAATGTACGGTATTACATGATTAATTGCATTATATTAATCAGTAGAAGAACAGAACTATTGCTATGTATTCTATAAGTAAGAAGATAAACATCCTTTTGYCAATCAAGTTTCTACATTCATCTAACTCCCACAAACTCAGTGGACAAATTCTGACAGCCAAAAAACACTTTTATTGGAACAATACTAACTTCTGCATAATATTTAGTCAACTTGTATGCAACCCTAAGTATAATTTATACAGAAATAGAAATCTTTCTGTGCAATACTCCATCATTTCTGGTAAAGACATTAAAAGCAGTAAATTACATTCATTTTAGCTGTACTAAGTGTCACAAACTGATTTACATTTATCATGTTTTAGGCAACATAGTACATTCTAAAATTATTTATACAAAGCGAACARAAACTCATAGCACTGAGAGGATTGTTCAAACTTTTAAAAGCAGTATTCATCTGCCTTTCATACTGAACTTGAGGGAAAAAAAACATTATTTCTCCCCATTAATTTATTTATCAACCAAGTGCTAACGCTTGTGTGTGTTTGTGTCACTCATGCTCTACTTATTTACACGTTTCAGGAGGAAACATGCCTGCAGCAGTGGGTTAGTTTTTGCAGGTAGGGGGAAGACGCTTGTACTCCTTTAAATCTTAACAGCAAAACATACTATGCTACAAGAACATTACTGCCCATAATCTACCACCAAAAGCAGGATGTGCACCTGTTGTAAACATTCTATATTTGTGTTCCCTTCTGCAAACAAGAGAAACAGTTCTGTTCTGTTAATTCACAACACAATACATCACTGTAAATGGAGTACAGGTACATGGATACCATTTTACATCAGAGAAATTTTAAATGCTCACATTCAAAGAGTCTCAAAAAGTAGGAAAWGACAGAAACAACCTTGGCAAGGCCAGAAAGCCAACATGATCCAACACAATGAAGTTGACATTTCCAAGTTTGGCTATAGCAAACAAAAGTTTCTGTCAGTAATAACTGTAACCATCATTAGTCTTCATCTTAACTTATGCATACTAGAAGCCACAGAATTAAGCTTTTCCTTTGCCCACAGAGTGAACTTGCCCTTTAGTACCTTCACTTGGGCAAGAGTAAGAAACAGAGACAGGCAGCATGAGAACCTTTGGCATGAGGTCTTTGGTATTTCCACCGCYTCTGCTAGTGATGTACAACATCTATTTCGTGGATAAACAGAGCAGTTCAGTCTCCAGAGCCTGAATCCAGCACCTTTCATAAGTCTTAACTTCATTTTTAAAAGCGATAAAAGAAAATGAAATTTGCTTTCCAGCTTTATCAGTAATCCATACGTGCTCATATTGCAGACTGCAAAAACATCTCAGAGATCAATAATAAACATCCTACTCACGGTCCATTCTCCTACTTCATTTGAACAAAAACAAACATTCGCAAGTATACATCCTGCTCCACACTCTTCCAAGGTTGAATGACGGAATACGGATAATAACTGCACTATGGATAATAATGCACTGGAATGGGAAAATAGCATGTATTCTTTGGGACTACACAGAAGACCTCTGACGACTAAATAAAGCAAACTTAATTTTAACCTTAAGCCAGTCCTACTCAGTAGCATGGTTTGCTCTTTCCTCCTGTGTGTCTGCTCCTACTCGATCATTTCAGCACTCATCAAAGTCSAACTCTTGCCTCACTCCTATTTTAGTTGTCCTCAAACTTCTTACGAATGGGTTCTTTGTTGTGATTTAGACTACAAGCAAACTCTCCATTCTAACATCCATAAAGGTAAAGAAAAAAAAAAATAGAGGAAACAATCACTCTACTATATCCATAATAGAGAAAATCATTAAAGATAACATGCCTAGAGAATTTAGCTGTAAGAAGCTGGCACGTGAAAGCTTGCAATCACTTACCTAGGGGTAGCTACATCTTTAAGGAGACACCAAAAAGCCCCCTCCCCGTCACGTTTTGCCAAATGCAAAAACCCTCAACCCCAATAAATGAAACCCCAACTTAGCAGCACAGGAACCTCTCAACAAGCCTGTTGCTGTATTTTCTCAGCAACTACTAATAGGCTGGGGTTTTGTTTTTCAGAAACATTTTCCTGAAAGGCTTTGGAGTTTTTGTTTTTTTTTTAAAGCCAGCCTGAAGCACCCATTTAATATTTGTTACTTAAAAAGCATCCTTAAAATGCTAACTTTAAATGCCAGTATGCTTGGCAGTACTATCTATAATGCATACTAATTCACTATGCTAGCTTTGGCAACGAAAAACTTCTACAATACTGTGAACAGGAATTTGAACTTCCCAGACACCACARAAAGTGCACGAATAAAAATTTTGTATTTTTTATTATATACAGGGCAGGACGCTTCCGCGCATGCGCAGCTGCCGCCGGGCCCGTCGCCCACGATGGCGCCGGCGGCCGTTGGCCTCTCCCCCCACACCTGTCCCGCTTCACTGGGGCTCGCCCCTCCCCGCTCGCCGTCGCCGCGGGGGAAACCACAGCGAGGCAATGGGGAGACCCTGCAGCGACGGCCCGGGAAGCTCCGGGAGATGCCGGAGCGGGAGGCGGCCTTCGGGAGAGCCCCCTGGGGCACCGTGGCTCGGAACGGGGTGCAGCCCCCTGCCCCCTCCCGGAGAGGGGCGGGGGAGCGCGGGCAGCGCCGCCGCCGCCCCCCCCCCCGCAGCACCGCCCTCCTCGGCGCAGACCCCGCCCCCTCTATGTAGACCCCGCCCTCTCGAGGCAGGCCCCGCCCTCTCGGGGGAGACCCCCGCCCCGTGGGGGGTGGGGCGAGCGAGGCAGGGCGACAAGGCCGGCGGACCTCAGGGCGGCTAGATGAGTGCCGAGTGAGTGAGTGGTCGATGCGCTTGGTGTTCGCGCTGACCCCAGCCGCCCCTCCGCCACTTCCGGCGTCGCGCGGGGACGGAGCGGGAGGGCGGCGGCGGTTGGTGGCGGTTGGCGGCGGCCCCGCGCCTTCCCGCGCCCCCTCCCGCTGCCCACAGGTAGGGGCGGGCCCGGGGCCGCCCCTGCCCGCGCCCCGGGGCGAGGCGGGAGGGGGCGGGGCCGCTTCCCGGGGAGCGCCGCCCGGTAACCGGGGGCTGCGGGCGCGTGGTGAGGCGGGGGGGCGGTAACCGAAAGCTCGGCCCTGTCCCGGGGGGCCTTGGTCCCTGGCTCCGTTTTGCGGCGGGATTTGGGGCTGCGGGGGAAGGTGTCTCGCAGGCGGGAGCCTTCCCCTCGCCCCCGCGGCGGGGCAGGTGCTGTCACCGGCAGAGCCACGTCCGTGCTGGCCGCGGGCCCGGCCGGGCGGAGCCACGGAGCCGCCCCCAGGCAGAGGCTCCGCTCGGGCTTCCCGCGGGCGGGTGATTGTGGCCCTGCAGCCCCCGGGCGCTCGTGGAGTGGCTTCCACAGGAAGTGAGCCCTGGTCAGGGCTGGGCTTGGAATTTAGGTCCGTTGCCGCCCCGGGCGGCTCGTGCGAGTGTCTTCCTGACAGCACCTCCTCCTGAGAGGCTTCTTCCTGCCGAGCGGGTGAGGTGCGGCTGAAGTTCACGGCCTGCTGCCACCCAGGCTGTTTCTAAAATAATGCTTTTCAAAATTAAAAAAAAAAAAAAAATTGGACTTTTTTTTTCTGTGATAGCTATTACAAGCTGTAAACTTCAGGAAATTAAAGAAAGCTTGCTCTTCTAGTTAGTTGCTGATTTCTGTATGTTATTCACTCCATATTATTGTTTGCAAAAGAACAAAAAGTATCTGTGACCAAAAGAATGTTTTGTTTGTTTATTCATTTTACATCAACTAAGAGAAAGGGAGGAGATTGTGCAATGCTATGTAAATTAGGAAGACTAAGGAGCTACTCCTAAATGGATTTTTGCGGTATATTCAACAGGTGAATCAGTTGCTTAAGGAATTATTAAGAGGTGTAATTTTCAGAGATGTTTATTACTGCTTTAGTGGCAGCCTTAGTCATCTTCAGGAAGTTAAATGGATAGATCATAAAGCCTGATGTTGTGATTAACTATTTGAATAACTGAAAATAGAAAGTTACATTAATAAGTACACTTAATACTGTCTGTYCTGCTCTCTATTTCGCATCCAACTTTGGTGCTCTGTCCCAATAATGAAGCTGTTAATTAATATATCTTAAAGCACTGCATGTCTGTTCAGGGGARGCATACACTGGTCAAGAGAGATCTCCACAAATGCTAATGAAAAAAATGGGATCAGCCAAGGTATCAACAATGGATGTTTTTCCTTGTCTTCATAGTGATTTGTTTCTTGGGCTTGAAAGTTAGAATGCTGCTAACCAAGCACCTTTTTTAATTTTTTTCTGGGAAAAGAAAACTTCTGAGGAATGCTGTAAACAGAGGACTAAAGGAAGGATGCTCAATCTTAACAGCTGTATATAAACACTTCTGTAGAACTTACATAGGAAATTTGTGCAAGTTCTTGTATATAGAAAGTTTATGCATGATCAGTTCAAACCCATTTGTTGTTAAGCCACTGTCCTTAAAATTAGAGCAGTTTTCTCCCCTGAGTAGTAACCTCTGTGATGCTTTTATTGAAAGGAAATTCATCTCCTGTTCATATGTTCTTTGTTAGGCTAAACAAATTAAGCTGTCATCCTGTTTCATTCCGTAAGATTGGCTCTGYTCTCTTAAGTCATCCTGATAACAATTTTCTGCAGCCAGAATTTGATTGGAGCTCATCTTTCTTTGAGGGTGATCAGAGCAATGATACTCCATACAAAGTCTCACTTGTGCCTTGTAGAATGATGCTGGTACTTCACAGAACGGTCAGAACTGGAGAGGACCTGTAGAGATCATCTAGTCCAACCACTGTGCAGAATGCCCAGGGCTKTGGAAAGGGGCCACTCAGGTGGACTAGTCCACCAGAACGCTCACGTCCGCCTCTGTATATCTGCATCCTGGTACAGGTGGCTCTTTTGTTTTTACACACTTCCCTTTGTTGATCTTCATGAGGTTCCTCTCTGCCCATTTCCGCACTCTGTTGAGATCCCTTTGAATGGCACTGCAGCCTTCTTGTCTGTCAGCTGCTCCTCCTGGTTTTGTATCGTTAGAAAACTGAACGTGTGCACTGTCCCACCTTTCCAGCCTCCGCTGAAAAGAGGCCGTGTAGCCTTTTGCTTACTCCTCTCCCCCTTCCCTGCCTTTTTTTTTTTTTTTTTTTTTTTTTTTGTGATTAACTAAAAATTCACAAGGGTAAACTTTCTATCTCCTGCTTTGGTTTTCAACTGAGGAGCTCTGAATTTAAACAGAAATTGTTATCATAGGTCCTAAATTGTTATAGTCCGCAAGCTATTCTTTCTGAACCTTAATAGAAATCYTATTCCAGTTTTACAATTACTCGTATCAGGAAAGAAAACGGCATTGCAAGTTTTATATTAATCTCTCATTTTTCAGCCAAACTTGTATTTTACTACATAATGACTTGCCAATGTCTGTGTACACTAGACTTGCTGCATTTCATTTTTTCCAGAAAATGATTTCAAGGGAAGATCCTGGGTTAATGTATCATGATTTGCCTTTTGTATAAACACACTTACAATTTGGATGTTATGAGAAAAGGGATTTTTGTAGTCTTGGGATGAGAAGTATTTTCGAGCTGGAGAAAAGGAAGTATTAAAAAACTGAGGCAACATTTAATTACTGACTACTGACTGAACTAGCTGCTGACCTGCACCTAAAAATCATGGAAGGCTGGGCTGACCGGCCTGAGTGGCTTGAGGCTGAAAAGGGGAAACAGGAGGGCCATGGGGGCAACCACTGCCCCAAACATCACACTCTCCACTGAACTGGAGAAAAAAATTACTTGTCTGCCAATCTACTAAACTACTAATTTTTTTCACRTAGCTTCAGTCATCCATTTTTCTTTTATGTTACATATAGAAATAGTTCCATGTGGACAATATTGAAGGTATTGCCATTCTCCATATATCATCAGATAGCCACACTTTTTCTATAATTGTCCTCTTAATCTTTTTATCTTCATGTCCTTTTTCTTAAAGGTCTATGAGGAATATTGGGCAAGAGTGAGAATGAGGTAGGAATTTATTTCAGTTCTGTGCTTGTGACCAATCACAGGCTCATCTCTCTWTAGCTCTTAGCAGGTCTTCGGATATGTTAGACTAGTTCATTTTCGCAGCAGGATGTGCCAAACTAGGTAGAACTGCAGTGCCTCCACTTGCGATATGATTGAGCACAGAATCAGTCCTATTCCAAGCAGTCACTCCTYTTAGTGACTTAGACATAAAAAGACTGAAACAGAGCCTTTATATATAGAACAGAACATATTAGAAGAAAAGTCTTTTAACTTTGGACAATCAAAAAAAAAAAAGAAAAAGAGAAAAAAGGGGGGGGGAATGAAGTCAAATCGTTGAACTTTTACATTTTTTGTATAAACTCCCTGCTTGTTTCCTCTCCTTTTTAGAAGGTTGTATGTTAATCTTAGCTGACTTTTGCATTTCTTCCATCTTTCAGACAGAAACAAGGAAGACAAAACAAGAAAAAAGAACAAAAAGAAGATAGCRGAAGTACCGAATGCAGCAACCAAGGAATCATGGATCTTAAATTCAATTCGTCACGAAAATACATTTCCATCAGTGTACCTTCCAAATCTCAGGCTATGTCGCCTCATATTAAATCAGTAGATGATGTTGTGGTTCTTGGCATGAATCTCAGCAAATTTAACAAACCTACTCAATTTTTCATCTGTGTTTCTGGAGTTTTTATGTTTTATCTAGTCTATGGATATTTACAGGTAAATGCCATGAACTTATGTCTTATGCCACTTACACAGTGCTCCTCTTCTTTTTAATAGCATAATAATATAGTAGTTAATATCCAAAGACCTTTAAAGCAAATACAAATTGCAAAGTCAAAGGAGTTAGGAGTAGCAAGTATATAATATATGATTTTGCTCCGTGCCTGTGAGGTTTGATACAGTTCAACTTTGTTAACTGTTTAGCTTCTAAGTGTATGACTTTCGGTATTGTTTTTAATACATATTTTTGAATGTGATTTCATAATCTTTTAAAAACAAATGAGCTTTATAGCCGCWGTGACTACCATGTAAGTCCTTATTGAAGTTGAAATTTTTATCTATCATTGACAGTAAGCATGAGCAGTTCACATTAGTTCGGTATGGTTGTTAAAATGATAATAATTTGTAGTTCTCTCTGCTCTTAATTCTTGACAAGACTGAATTATGTGCTGTGGTTGTTTGTTAACTAGAAGATTAGTGTTCAGGCAAATTTTAAGTTTTATACCAGTTTAAGCATTTCTGTAACCTTTCTCTTTCTGCTGTCTATATTTTCTTTTATCTTGATGAGTTGCATTTCTGCTTTTGTTTCTGAAGTTCAGCTGAGTCTTTTCAGAACTTGTCAGATCATCTTTTTTTGTGCTTTTTTCAGAAACATCTGAGAAGCTTGTTAAAATGGAAAAAAAAAATCTAAACAATTACATTCAAGAGTTACCACTAATTGAAAGCAGAATCTTAAAAAGGAAAGTACTTAGGCAGTAGGGTGTTTTAAGTATAGGCCCTACTGCCRTCTCTGCAGGTAATTGACACAGCTGCATAATTTCTTATGCACTGTATATATATTTTGTAAAAATTCACTGTGATTTTAGATATCCATACAGCGTGCCTGTTTACAGCCCACAAGTGTTATTTAATATAGACAGTCAAAATCCTAAGTTCATGTTCTTAAGAAATGAAGAAACCGTAAATTTGTCTACTAATAAATTTGTCTTTTATAGAAGGTTTGTATTTATTACAAGATATTTATAAATTTTTATAAAATGTATTTTGGATGGATTAAAAACAAAGTTAGTCTGAGTAAATGAATAGGAATTCAGTCAAGTGAAATGCAGACAAGAATCCACACATAATTTGGGACGAATATTCRTGGCTTCAATGTATTCATTTGAGGAATCAGCCCATTAATTTCATGAGTCATACCAGCAATAAATTTCCTATGTTTTGCAGAAACTAAGTTGTCTTTTTCAGTACTTTGCAAGTRCTGAAAAAAAAAATGGCAAATGAATTCTAGTTAATAATTAATAGCTGCAAAGAGTAGTTTTGCATGTATATGAAGAAGAACTTGTGATTTGATTTCATTTACTATTTRTATAGGTTCTTGACCTTGCTGTTTTGTTTGTTTGTTTTTTTGTTTTTACTAGGAACTGATATTTTCAGTGGAAGGCTTTAAACCGTTTGGTTGGTACCTTACTTTAGTGCAGTTTGGATTTTATTCCATGTTTGGACTAATAGAATTGCAGTTGATTCAGGACAAAAGGAGAAGGTATGTATGATAAATTTAACATCTTTTGTTTGACTATGAATATTGTGAGGCATCGGTAGCAGTTTCATAGTTAAATTAATGTATTAGACAATGTTAGAAAATATTTGATAAGCTTATGATTAGTAAAAGTAAACAGCATATATCTTCAAACTACGAGTTCCCTTCATTTTCTGTCATGTCTAGCATGCTCTAGTTAGTGAATTAGAAATTCCTGAATCTAAATCCTTTGTTTTTGCATGCATATCCTTTAGGATCTGTCAAATCTGTTTAGATAATATTGTTCTTTTCTCATATGTGTAAGGTAAGATGCCCTCTTGGATACACTGTGAGAATGGATATGTTAAAGCTAAGAAGTGGTAAGAATCAGTGATAGAACTTAAACTCTGAATCAGGATGCTATTAAGTGGAGGCTCTTGCATTGATAAACTACTTCCCAAATGTGAAGCTCTTTGTGTCATTGCTTGGAAATTATATAAAGTAGGATTATTTGCAGGATATATTCTCCTAAACATCGTCTAAAATACAACTCCTTTGTAATATGTAGAAAATAATATATATGTATACACATATATATATATATATATATAAATAAAAACTTGGTAGAACATGCAAATAATCAAATAATGTACCTGCTTAGATTTCAGACTTGCAAGCAGTCTTGTTGACTGTCTGTATTGTCATCTTCACCTGCTTAGGGAGCGATTTCTATCCCCGAGCTAGCTGATACAGACTAACTCRCATGGGTGCTGATATACAGACTAACTCACATGGGTGCATCACAGGTCTGTTGAACCTGGGGCTTGATCATTTAGGTTTTCATCAAAGGAAATTTCTTGTTTTATATTTTTCGTTTCAAGTTCTGCTCGAAACACTGCCACAAAAGTAATCTTCACTATAGGTAACCAAGGAGATTCTTTCTGTCTTGAATCCCATGGAAATGAGGTAGTTTTATCTGACTCAGCGTGGTGGCCATTCTTATGTTTTCCTCTCAAACTGCAGTCTCTGTAAACTGTTTATTTTGTAGTTGGTGTTTTTTTTTTTTTTTTCCCCTCAGACAGAGGCTGTCATGATGTATGTAAATTTAAAAAGTGTGTCTAACGCTTTTTTTTTCTTAGTTGAACATATCCAGTCTTCCTTACCTGTAGTCATCCTTGCATGATGTTTTATATACTAATTTTTAGATTATTTTATAGCCAAGCAATGTAACTTTGAAAAAAATATAATTGGTGTTTTAAACACAATCAGCTTGTATTTTGAGATACCTGCCTCCTATAGATGCTTCAGACTTTTTACCTGTCTAGCTTTCTGTAGTTAGTATTCACATTTTGTTTAGAAAAACAGTTGCTACAGTTTATGGAATGTGGCCCTGCAAGTTGTGGGGAAAGGTAAATCTTAATATTTTTGACATTTTGTTTTCTGTAATCTTTTCATCCTCTTGCAGATGTTAAAAACATATTTCTTGACTTTTATTTTAAATTCTGTCTTAAATCTTCTTAGACAGTTATTTTGCTTGCATGCCTCAGAGCATGCCTACATTACAGACTGAGTTATGGGTAAGACAGTGTGTTACAGCACGATGTCTCATGTTGCTTAATTTTGGCTTTGAGTGACAGGCTGCCATTTGATGATACTTGATTCACCTATCTTTTGTTTTTGTAGTTGCATTATGTAATTATACATTTTTCCACTTTCTCCACTCTAAAAATGTCATTGTCTTTGTGAAAACATTGCCAAAAAATTCACCCAGAGACCATGACAGAGAGGATCTGTAGGTATATGAACCTACTGTGTCTCCTTTTCCAAATAATTTAAAGTCTGTGTTTTGAATCTTTAGTAAATGACGTACATCCTCAGAAAGAGATTAAAGAATTATTACTTGAATACTTCCTGAATTTTTATAGTGTCTGATATTTGAATGTAATTTATTTCAGGTAACTAAAATAAATTAAATTGAAAATGCTTATTTTTATGCATTTTTAAGTTTCTGTTATGGGGTGAAAATCAATAAGAAAAATGACCAGGATCTGTTATGAAGTTATTCTTTTAACCAGATTGTCCAAGCTAAATCCCTTTCAGAATTGCAACATGTCTGTAATACCAAGATTTATTTTTATATTTTGTAGAATTCCTGGGAAAACCTACATGATAATAGCCTTTTTAACAGTGGGAACTATGGGTTTGTCAAATACCTCTTTAGGGTATCTGAATTACCCTACTCAAGTCATCTTCAAGTGCTGTAAACTGATTCCAGTTATGATAGGCGGGGTTTTTATACAAGGTAAGTGTTAGTTTTGCTGTTAGGTAGATATTGGATATTTTTGGTTGTTTGGGAAGCAGTCAGGCATGGACTCTTATATTTCTTTAAGTTTTATTGCACTCCTTGCTTGCAAAGGGAAAGGTAGTATTTTTACTTCCTTCATGAGTTTCCGTAGCAGCATCTGAAAAGATATTTAGATAAAACTAAATGAGCAGAAGATGGGGTAGGGGAAATGGTATAGGTCAGTCACAGAGCTCCTTTTTTAAGCAGGCCTTCTTGATTTTTAAGTCACTTTATTTTTTCAAAGCTAGTCATTTCACAAGTGAACCATTTTTAATGAAAAACTTAGAAATTAAAAAAATCCAGGCACAGTTTTGAAGAAATCCCCTATGCGTGTTGTTTAATAAGCTTGCCTCCCCTCCTGCCTTCCCACCTTCCCCCCCCCTTTTTTTCTTTTACATAAAAATATTCAATAAGAAATACATTTGATTTAATTCTGGGAACACAAATGCTGTATGACTCATCCTAAATTTGTTGTTCATAGTCTAGTAACAAAAAAAMAGGGATCTGGAAAACAACAGAAAACACTCTAATTATGCAAATAAGTATACCTCTCTGCTTGTGCTCTAATAAGTGTAGTATTAACATTTTCAGTTCTATGATAAGTCAGGATTCATTAAGTCAATAGTACCTGGCATATGAAAGTGTTATGGAGCAGAATTTAAAGTTGTTCATTTCTGTTCTGACTTTCTGCTCACAATAGAAGCCTGAACTTTCTGAGGATTTTCTCTGGGCCACTAGATACATTTAAAGAAAAATCTCATTCAGCCATGTTAACCAGACAACTTTGCATGCTTACATACATGTGTGCACTATTTTTCTTTTATTAAGAGTCATGGTATATAATTTGAATTAAGGGAATATGAGTCTCTGAAAACTTTCTAAACCTCTGAAATGTGCAYGATGGGTGTGTGTCTGCACGGATTTTATGCAGATACATATAAAACATACTCTTCTGAGAATATAATATACAATGTGTACTATATATATGATTATAGATATATAGAATTGTACACATATAATAGTCTCAGAAGCTGTGAATATTTTTCAGTCACAATTTTCCATACTGGAAAAAATTCCTTAGAAACTTGCATGGAATCTATGACTTCTGAAGAAAAATAATAGGTTATTACGAACACAGCATGCTAGTTCCTGTCTTTCTGTTTTCCTTTTCTTTCTTATCCCTCCCGCTTCTCATCCTGTTTGCCCCAAACTGAATAACAATCTAGGATTCAAAATGTGCAGATTTCCAACTAGATAGCTAAATACTTAGGAACAATTTTTCTCTATGGTCACCAGGGCAGCTGAAATGTCTTACATGAGAAAGTGGTCCTCAGAAAGTATCGAAGCTGTCCCGAGATGGTGATTTTTGAGGGAGTATGTACTTTGTCATTGTGAGTAAAATTAATATCGGCACAAAAATCAGATAGCATTTGCCAAGACCTTCTTTCTTGTTAGAAACTGCTGCTGTAGAGAGGGATTCTGGTGGTGAAAGGTCAGGACTTGAGGCTGTGTTCTTTAATCGAATGACATTGAAACATTTTTTTCCTCTGACTTTTAGCCTGGGGTAYATCCAAAATACTAAGAGTATTATAATCTCATTCATGTTGTTTGTATTGCTTTTGTAGGAAAACGTTATAATATTGCAGATGTTTCTGCTGCCCTGTGTATGAGTCTTGGATTAATATGGTTTACGTTAGCTGACAGCACGGTTGCACCAAACTTCAACTTGACAGGTAAAGATATAATGTACTTTATAGTTTCATAAAATGCTTATTTTGTCTACAGTAAGATTCCATAAAGTGTCTAAATGTTCTTGGTGTAGTGCCTTCAGGTATCACACTAAAAATGCAGATTACATTGTGTCATGGTACTAGCAGAGCTACATCTGTGGCAGAAGAGACATTTTTTTCTAAGCCTTAATTTTTACCTTCTTAACTTTCTGGAAGTATCAGTCTTTATGTTGAAATAGCCTGTGTTTTATTTTCAGAAAATAGTTTCTTCTAAGTAGAGATAGTAAAATAAAATTGGCAAAATGACGTTTGGACCTTTAGAATACTTCAGAAGCTGAGAGCTTTATTTTTCTGGTTAAATCTTTCAGTCTTTTTCTGTTTTACATTTTGGGTACCCGCCTAGCTTCTCTATGTTGTATAGAATCAAAACTAAAATATTTTTGAACTTCTTATGTGAAGAAACTTAGTGGAATTATTATGTCAATTGACATGGAAGGATAAGTTATCAATAGAAGGAATATATGTTACATATTTATTCAGTGTTTGGAATAATACTGAACTTAGGAGGACTTTTGCATAGTCTGCTTCTAATGTTTTCTTCCTTTAAAGTTTTGAGTTGAAATATAGTAATGGTTGCAGCAGGCATTCACTGTTTCTTAATAGTGGAAGCATCTAGTAACTGTCCAAGTTTTGAGGTTTTTGAGAACTTTTTCATTTTTTTCATTTTTTTCAAAGTTTTTCAAAACTTCTTTTTCTTTCTACCATTTCTCAATAACTCTTGGTCATGCTTTACCTACCACATACCATTACTGCTCTTGTTCATGAATTTTGTCACTGTTTGGTAAATGTGTCACTATCACAGTGGTCTTTTATGTGATAAGTTAATGTAGTATATTTTAGTAAAATTGAAATTTTACTTATGTGCATCGTTAATTTCTAGTTCTTGCAATGTTAAATGCAACGGTTGCTAGTCATGCAAGATTCAAGATGTAGAGCTTGGGAAATGTATTGGCTGGCATGGGTAGTTATTAGTTTTTGTCATTGGAAAGCTGTTTACATTCCTAACGATTCTGTTATTGCAAGATTTGGTAACATAAAAGCATGGGTAATTTGACAGTATTTTTTTGAAAAGGGGTATGTTAACGATGAAAGTTTTCCACTGGGAAGTAGTCTCATGCGTTTGTTCTATCAGTAACGCTTTTCAATGTTAAATGCATAGTATATTTTTTCCTTTGTCAGGGAAAATAACCTAGTTTGCTTAACRGCATATATTCTTTTGTAATTTATCTTCCTATACTGCATTTTTTGAGTACTACATTTTATTCCCTTACTCTTGGTGCTGCAAAAAATTGCTGTTTACTTATATTACAGCAATGCCCGGTGTTTTTGTCAAGATCGGAGACACGTAGTGATCTGGGTTTAACCAGGAAAATAATGCTTTATAGATTGTTCGAGCTTATGTCAGTATAATGAAGTAGTTTTGTTGACATTTGAATATAATATACATTTTTTTTATTTTTTCTATTCCTGAGCTGCTTTTTTTCAGAATACAGGGTGGTTTTCATCACTATTCTGTTTTGTTGATAAATAATTCTGTTCTGTGATAAATATTCTGAATACATTTTTGTTGCTGTTTCTTGCTTTCTTACATTAGGTGTGATCCTAATATCCCTCGCCCTCTGTGCAGATGCAGTTATAGGAAATGTGCAAGAAAAAGCTATGAAGTTGCACAATGGTTCTAATTCAGAAATGGTAAATACCAGATTCTAATTTATCCTCTGTCACACAGGCACTCTGACACTCTGGGAGTACTTAAGTATTCAAAGTGATCAGCTGTTTGCAGAAGGTGGAGGGAGTTATGAAGACCTGCCTTAATGAAATTGAAATGCTTTGCCATTTTATGTGTGTATTTTGTCAAACGTGAGACAGGCAATGACAGAGCGTTAAGCTGCTTTCTTTCTGAATGTGTAAATAGTAGTTTTTGGTGTATTCACTTTTTACCTTTCAGGGGTTCTGCTTTCTGTGTACTCTTTCAAATGTACTATTCAAATGTATATTGCAGCTACAAAAGAATCTATTTTCTGGCAATATTTTTTTTTTTATATAGACAGGGAGGAGTCTGCCAAGCAGCCCCAAAAATCAATAGAATGTTTTCTGTGTGATCAAGCACTTAAAATTTACTAAAAATATATGTTGTTGTTTTGATATAGATAGGTCTCTTCTTGATTCAGCAAAATAGTTTTGAAAAACATAGTTTTGAAAAAGCCTTGTTCAGTGTTTTTATATTAGTACAGAACATGGATTATCAGACTTTTTTCTTTCTCTTTTGGCAAACTTGTCCTGAATTTCACATCTTCTTCTCTAAAGTAAATACGAACAAAATTATTGCAGTATACATTTTTTAATTGCCAAAAGCATAAATAATTGTTGAAACTCAGTCAAACACATGACATGTTTGATATTTAACTTGTTGGATATGACTAGAAAATCTAGTCTCTTGTTTATGAAAARTTCAAGTAATATAGCTTCCTAATGGAGATAAAATTAATTAGAAGGAGGCTTGGATTATACCTCATATTCATTAGATTGGCTTAAGAACTTTGAGCGGCAGAGTTCTGGGAGATGAGAGATACCTGAAAAATACCACTTTACTCGTTTCAGTTCTTCTCTTTTTTCCTCAGTATCTATCTACTGTTAACTGCTGCAAGAGACAAGAGTTTTTAGCCAGTTTGACCCAATGCAGCCTTTTATGTCAGAGGTCCAAAGCCAAGTAGAGTGTGTAACTGATATATTGCCATTTGCCTCTTGACAGTGTTCATTTGATAACTGGTATCTTCCCTATGATGCTTCTGTTATAAAGAGCTGTATATAAAAAGCAAAGTTTTTTATTTCATGGTAGTCTGCCAGATGTTGGTCTTGGTTTTGCATATTCATACAATTCATAGAGAATCAGAGTAGTGGTTAAGGAAATAGTGATTTTGCTGGTCTTGCGTTCTCTTCAAGGAATTTGATGGAGTAATACTAGCAAAATTTCAGAAATCACTTTTGTAGACCTGAAACTGGGTGAAAATKTGAAGGGCCTTCTGAGTTAGACATCACATTTAACTTTCTCATCAGTTGCTTTGCATAATCAAATTGCATTTTCGGCCTGGATTTTTAGCTAGTTAAATATTTCTTGAATATTCGAGAGTTAGTGAGTCTTCTAACTTTCGTTGATACCATTGGTAATTTGAAACTGCTGAAAACTCAGAGTTTTGATGGGTCTAACTGGCATTAATGTTGAGACTTAAAAAATTCTTTAAAAGAAACATTAACATCAGTAGTAATGATATTAAAAAAAAAAAAAAAAAGAAACTTAAAAGGAACAGCAGATGTGACTGAAGAGTCTGAGATTATACAAGAGTTCTCCACTTGTTAAAACTTAACCTCAGAGTTCAGTGGTTGCCTTTTACTACAAAGCAAAGGTACTTGGACTAACCACATAAGAAATTATTTAAGAAAATCAGAGTTTATAAAATGAACTATGCTGTAGTAGTGAATAGTATGGAATTCCAAATTCTGTTTAAAGCCTCAAATTTTATTTTTATGGCAGTAAATCAGTAAATTTTTTAAGTTCTTATCTGCTCAACAACTGAGATGCTTAGATGAAATAGTGATCAATAAAATTTACATATTTCAGGTTTTTTTCATTGCTTTCTGCCTTGTTGCTTCATAACAAGGATAAAAGAGAGAAAGGGAGAAAAACACTGAAGCAGACTTTAAAAGCAAGAGAATGTGTAGAATTGCAGTAACAAATATCTTAGATTAATGAGATTAAAAGGTAAATTGAATTTAGAGTAAGAGTTGGAAATATCAATATTTGGTAATGAACATGCGCTCATTTAAAAATCAGTTTTCATTAATATGTGTTAAATATGACTCTGAAAATTGTTTGTGAAGGGTATTATTTTCTTAATGGTATTCATACAGCTTTTTAATAGACAGTATCAGAGTAACTAGCCACTGTTAAGGTTGCTATCATCATTTTCATCAATGAATTCTGTTAAAATTGATGCTATTCCATTAACAATCTTGCTGAAGATATATGATTGAATAGTAAAGCAACCTGTCATTGATAAGATCTGTGATTCACTTACAGAATTTGAAACTTTTCCTGAATTAAGCAATTTTGAAGAGAAGATACCTTATAACTAAAACACTAAACAATGCCCTGGAAAACTACACCTGTTTTTTTCCTTTAATATAATTCTGAGCCTGTGATTTATATCACACTTCCTGACAACTATCTATGTGTTGCTCACTGTGTGAAGTGAGATCTTTGGGAGAGTTTGGAAGAAAAGCTGCATGCTGGGAAAGGCAAGTGAAGAACTGAGGGCTAACTCCTCTATCTGTAAACAGTGTCATTATCTGAAAATCAGGTCATTGGTTTTTCAAGTTACGTGTTGAGAACAGTTCTGCTCTTAAAATATCCACTTGCTGTAAAGCAGGAAAAAGAGCATTCTCTCTTCTCATGGCATTGTTAATTATTTGCTGATAGATTTGTTAATAGATTTATTTTTGCAAACCATTGAGATGCTGGTGAGTTAGAGGAGGAAGAAAACCCAAAAAGCTCTGCAGAATTAGCTCTGTAACTGACCCSAAGTGCTCTAAATCAGTGTGTTCTAGGGGCAACCTGTAGGATCRCCCTGTTCACTGCCCCCCTTTTTGTGGGACCTGGTTGCTGAATGCTACCCAGGCAGCTGCGTGCTTCCCACTGTGCCTGTGTAGAGACAGGCAGTTCCGGCTTAACTCCCGCCTTTGCATGGAAAAGRGTAGGATGAAGACATTTTTGCCAGTTTGAAGCTGTGTATTAAATAAGAATAGAAACAGAATGAAAAACTTAGCTGTTTGTCAAGTATAATCTCTTTTGAGTGCCAGAATAAGCCAGAGGTTGTCCTTTGTGAAGATTTTATACCCTATAACTGTGCAGGTGCACAGTGTTCATGAACTGAAGTGGCATGAGTGACACTTAAGCTGGTGTTTCATGATGGTTGAGTGCTYGAGTAGCAAGTCTGAAAATGTTTTACATATTTTTCAGATTATTTAGCTCTTTAGTTGTGTTAAATTTTAATTGGCGAAATCCTTAATTTTAAGGATTTATGGCAATCAACYTCAGGATATTGTTAACTGACAAGCGTAACAAACCTGGCCTGTTGTAGACAGGAAGAGTTATTCCCTGTCCTCTGTTCATCAACGGTTATAAAAATATTAGCGAAAATATCTTTAAATGCTACAAATTCAACTCAGACAAGTTGACTATGTTAACAGGGCCACATATTTGAAATCATTCAATTTTTGTTTTTGTATAGTGTAAACAGGTAACTATTTTCTCTTAAACTATTCCAGGTTTTGTATTCCTATTCAATAGGTTTTGTGTATATTTTATTGGGATTAATATGCACCAGTGGATTAAGCCCTGCAGTAACCTTTTGCTCAAAGGTAGGTGTAAAGATTTCCTTTTTTCATTTTAAACAACTATATTGGGAAACATTGCTCTGTATAATTTTGAAAATCTCACCACTTGTGTATTTGTTTTTTTCATGTAAACCAATTGATTTGTATAATTCATACGTTATCCAGATTGTCACAGTCTTTGTTGTACAAAGTAAGGTCATGTTTTAAATAAAATCACAAGATCAGACTTTTGAGTTTATAATTTCTTTATTGTTTTTACATTATTTAACTAAAATTAAATAAGGATCTTTGCATGAATGCATTGTTGAACAGCTTATTATTGCTCAAGCAGTTGATTAAAGTCTGTAGCTCTTTGTCATTTTGCAATACCTCAGGGTTTGTTTTGCCTTTTCCTAATAGTTTGTTGTTGTTGTTGCAGCATCCAGTTCAGACATACGGTTATGCATTCTTTTTCTCCTTGACTGGATATTTTGGAATATCTTTTGTTCTAGCTTTGATTAAAATCTTTGGTGCCCTTCTGGCTGTAACAGGTAGGAACAAATGATACCTTTACCGCTTTTAATATAAAAACATGAAGTAATCTTATCTTACTYTTTAGAACAAAGATTTTTTTWAAAAGTTTTTTGAAAAAAGAAAAGGAGCCTCTTTTTCTTTGTGCTGACTGATCTTGATTTCTACAGCAGGGATCTTCTCTTGTGCTCTGTGATTGAGAGCTTCCTGGTTCTTTCTATGCCGCTGTTTCTGCCTTGAGAACCCTATTAAGTAGCCTTGTGCACATAGCCTGAGCTGTGTTCTAACACAGAAACAGGACTGCTGTGAACTTCTCTTCACAGAAGGCATGCTGTGGAAATGTGCAGCAAAGCATAAGAAAAGGATAGGTATTATGTGAAACATGCACATATGCCATTGAGGAAAGGTAGGTAGTGTCATAGCCTCTAAACATCCCTTTTCTGGAAATTGTCAGCAAATATCATTGCTAGAACAACTGTGAAGAACTCATCTGAAGCTTCTGAATGTCCACATACCTGAAGTAGAATGTTTCTGTAGCAATGTTAAATGCACATTTTGGATTTAATTCAGAATAAACTTTATGCGTGCCTTAATTGTGATTTTCATGACAGTCTCAGTTGTTTGAGTGAAACTGAACTAAAAAAAATGAGTGTGAATTGGTTTAAAAARTCAGGATTTAACAGAAGCAAACTTCTGGTGGACTGTTTAACAACTGTTGGATTTTCTGTAGCTTGCAACTTATTCTGACTCTGGGTAGGTGTGTGCCTTCTGTTAAAGACATAAACAGTCTTTCATTTGTTCTACCCTTTCAGTGCAAGTGCCCTGCATTCTGTCCTGCAGAATGGAAGCAGGTCGTGCATCTTTTTTGGCTAAATGCCTGGCACAGTGTGTGGCTGCGTCCCCCAGGTCAGAAGAAGCAAATGTACAGAATYGTGATTGGTTTATTGAAAAAATTCAGGTGCAGGTGCACCTGCTAGTTAGTTCAGCATGAATATGGAACAATATAACCTCTTAAAATAGGTCAGAAGTTACTGAAGTCCTCTCCAGGTTAAGAACATCAGCAAATGCTGTCATGTCTGCTCTTGTGACAGCCTGTGTGCAAAAGAAGAGTTTGTGTAATGTGGCGTTCTTGCCTAGCAGTGCGATGCTTTCCTAGCAATAAACGCCATTCAGACCTCTCCCCCGTGGCATGCCAATATGTCCAGATTGATGAGGAAAAAAGAGGGCTTGCAGCAAGAGAGTTGCAAGCTTTTATAGAGTTTCAGCCTTTGTAGATTTTTTCTCTCTTAACCCTTATCCCGTAACATAACTTCATGTTGAGTAACCAGTCATTTGAAAAAATCATGCTGAGAAATTGAAGTCTCAATAGTGGAGCTTGGTTGGCTCTCTGTGAGTGACGAAGCGGCTTGAGTRCAGTGCGTTCATGCTGGCAAGTCATGTCATCTCTTTATGCATGGTCTTAAACAGTGTCTTGGGTGATATGTGCATTGGAAGCTAAGTATTTAAACCTATGCTGTGTGGAATGATAACTGTATAGTTTCAAAGAGGGAAGTATGTTAAAAGTCTGTTGATAGTTTGTCTTCCTGAGATTGTTAATGGAAGGCGTATTATAGAGTATGATTAAACCAAAGGAACTGCTGGCAAGAGAAATATGACAGACATTAAGATTCAAAAGTTGCTGTACTAGTTTACTGTAGCTTGCATCTGTATTTGTGAGTCCATGAGGTATTTTAAATAGGCAATGTTACCTGAGTGTCTCTAAACTACCTAGGTAAAATTTACATAACTATATTACAAGTGAGTGCTTTTAATCCATATTGAGTTTGTAGCAGTCAACTATCCAAAGTGTTCCATATCAGAATATCCTTGACTATGAATTAGAATAAGGAGAAATGAGTAAATTTTGACAGCAACTAATGTTAATATTTTTGATGTGGCCAGCAATGCTAAAGCTTTTTTCAGCACCTTTTTGTGCACTTACAGTCTGTTCCCAAAATTGTTTTCCTTTGCTATACATAGTTGTTACAGAACATGAAATTGTTATCCCAAGGAAAGCTGTTGTTTCCAAAACAATAACATATCATTTGTATGTATTTTTCAAGATGTAGTTATTGCCTCCGTAGTCACCCCTATTGTTTTTTACTCGTCATAGCAGTCTGTCAAGAACAGTTACATCAGGCTCGTTCCTTCCTCAGGTTACCTTTCCTTATAACAAGGAAACATCAGTCACAAGGGACTGGGGGGGGAGGTGTAGCAAGATGCCATGGATCTGCTTTCCTCTCCTCCYTCTGCTCCCAAAAGCTGGTTTCTGTCAGGTAATGCTCTACTTCATTCGCATTAGCGGAGAGGAAAATAGATACTTGTATTCTGTCCTAGAAATTGCATGCTCTGATTACCTGTGAATTGTTGCTGCTGTAGCAYTTCTGTTGTTTGTTCTTAACAAAATTCATTACTTGAACTGGCTGGGAAACTAGRACAGATGAGAGTATTGGTGCAGGTATTGGCTCTTAAAACAAATTTTACTGTGCTAAAACTGTTAAAAATACTGCGGAACAGTAAACCCTTCCCAGGTTTTCTTGTGCCTGACCTTGGCAATCCTAACACTCCAGCCCTTTCTGTCTTGCCTGTAGCAATGTGAAAATGTTTATCATGCCTTGGAAGAACCACCGCATTCATTACTGTCTTTCCCTCATCGTCTACTCTTCCCTCTTACTGGGGTAGTGAGGTGAAGGAGTTTAATGAAGATTGTATTTCTATTAGCAGAATGAGAAATTATCAGACTTAATTGGGAAAAAGAAGAAAAGGCACTTAATTTAGAAGGAAATGGTTACATAAATATTTTAATTAATAACTGATTTGAAAGAACAGAAATAATCGTAATTAGAAAAACTGAAGTAATTTAACCATTTTTTTAAATTATTCATCTGTAAACTGTTTTCTAATTAAAACTCAATTTTCTTTTTCATTCTCCTTTAATTTTTCCTGTAATAGAAAATCATTTTATTTGATGTGCATAAATTTCTTAAAATGTAGAGAAAATGATTACCAAAGTAAGCTGAGATTACTGCAGATTAAGCAATRGTGAAAGATGTTTCTTCCAATGCTRAACAGGCTTTAAGAAATACTTCTATGGGAGTAGAATGGAACGAATGCATCTCGCTTTACTAGTCAAAGTAGCCYGGAAGTACTTGGGTCAGTAGTCATTGCTTCCTTTTGTCCGTATGTTACAATCATACTAGTGTGGATATAGTAATATAAGCTCAGCTTTTCTTCTGGTGTACTAAAAAGCACTTCATGATGAGCAAAGTATTTTCTCTTAACAAAGAGCATAGTTTTCTTGTGGAGATGCTTGTGTTAAGGTCTGTCTTAAGTGAGAAGGTTGCTCTGTCGTCTAACACCTTTTCAGGCCCCYGATTTCCATAGCTGAATTGCTGGGCCTAGCTGCGATTATTACATTTGTAATGTTTTCATATAACTTCTTTAACCATTGCATGTTTCAGCAATTTTGTTATTGTTGGCATATGTTGACTCCTAAATGCTGTTATTTGAGAGTAAACCAAACAGGTACTCCGTTCCCACTTTGCTAATGGGATTATGTCTTCAACCCCTGTTGCCACCTTGATTCTTCTCAGTGATGATGTGATGGGTAGAAGAAGGCTTTTTTAAGGTTTTGATGACAACATGTTGAAACTGTTGAGGTTTGACCTCCTTGGTCATTTGGCTTCTAGACGAAGTTAGGTGGAATTATATTTCTCTGCACTACTAGGAATAGATTTCAATAGCTTCAGACAAATTACAATATATTTTTTTCCACTTCAAAATACAGTCAAAAACTAGCCTTCTGTGATACTGGATTGTAGTCAAATGAAGTGGAAATAGTAAGAAGTTTGGTATATCCAAATCCTATTCAGCTTGGTACAGCTTCCTTATGCTTTAACAGACTATTACTTTTCAGTGTGTGTAGTCAATTATTTGCAAGGATTGTTCATCACTTTCAGATATTGTGAATTGTCTAGAATAAGTTATTGAGTAGAAAGTCCTGTTTTGTACGTTTCCGTGCTGCTGGTGCAGGTACTGCTAATGTGTTATGCTCCTTTCAAACAGGAGTGTTTGTAGTTTTATTTTACACTGAGCCAGTGCATCTACAGCCTGTGTGCACCATGGATGATAATCAGTATAGTCAGGTACCTTAATTATGTAGTTAGACTATATACTAATATTGAAAACTGTCTTACATTCTTGCACTTTAACCAGATTCTTGAAGGACTTAACATTTCTTTTCCTCTACAGTAACAACAGGAAGAAAAGCAATGACCATTGTGCTCTCTTTTTTGTTCTTTGCAAAGCCATTCACTTTCCAGTAAGTATCTGTAATCTTTTCAATGAGTATTCCAATATTTTATTAAAAAAATGGTTCGTTATCATGCAAATATAACAGCAGTAATTAGTTATATTTGGGCTTTAATGATTTTCATTTCACATCTTCAGGAAATGTTGGCAGTCTACTGTAAATATTGACTGACTTGGTGCTAACCACGCTAGAGAAAATAGTTTCTGTTTTTCTAAAGGCCTGGAAGATAAACTACTATGTTGACTTTTTTGTTCTTTTTAAGAAAGATCTGATGTAGCTCATTTAATGCTTATTAGAGTTAATAAATCATTATAGTGCTTCTCTATGAAAGAAGATTAGTCTAAACGAAGGTATTTTCTCCATTGCATATAATTTTGCCTTTTATGAGCTCAGCTTTGAATTCTTAGCTAGACCTTCTGAAAAACAGCTATCTTCTGTTATCTTGATGTATTAAGCTGTAAGTTTTTATGGCTTGAGATTTTTTGCCTTTTTTTTTTCTTTTGTTTCAGTGAATAGCTTAAAATGCAACCAAATTATCCTCGTTACTTCTGGCTTGGAAGAGAATACTGCATAATTGTATTGCTATGAGTAAATGTATTTCAGATTTAAGAACAAGCCTTTCAGCCAAATGCCCAAATGTAATTTACTATTGCTGAACATGTTGGGGCTTAAAATAATAGAAAGTTAAAAAAAAAAAAAATTACATTGTAAAGTACAAACACTGAATGGGAATCATGTTTTGGAGCACTAACAGGAAGTATAGCTCTCCTAAATGTAGGGAGGAAGTACATTTTAAAACTCCTTGGGACTACTTTATTCATATAAGAAAGAAAAGTTACYATTTAATTATTATTTAATTATAAAAACTTCTTAACTGTCCAGTCTGCACAGGAGAACTGGAAGGACAATAACAGCAAAAATTCAGACTTGCCCTTAGTCCACTGATTCATCCTTCCTACCTAAAACTCTTGTATTCTARTATCTGTACTAGAGACACTACATCTCTACTCTTGCATCTCTCTAAAACAAGGCAGAGCCTTTGCTTTTATTTAATTCACAGACACTGGTATGTAATCACAAATAAAGTGTAACCTTTTTATTCCTCTCCTCTCCGTTTCCTTTAGGTATGTGTGGTCAGGCTTACTGGTTGTCCTTGGTATATTTCTTAACGTTTACAGTAAGAATATGGATAAAGTCAAACTGCCTTCACTGCATGGTTTTTGGAAAAAAAGTGTAGAAGAAGGAAAAACAAGGACGTTGTCGCAAACTGTATAGACAAGCTGTGTCTAAGTACGATTTACTGTTTTATTGGAACTGTCTTCAACTGATTCACTTTCCAAAGGGAACATGATTAAACCAAAGGAGCTGAAGGCATATTGTCTGCTAGCAGAAGGCTAGTAATGCACATTTTTGTGAACCTTTTCTTCAGAGCACTTGAATTCATCCTAAAAGATGTTACAGGCCATTGTCAGATGGCGTTAYGAAGCAATGAAGGACAGGAGCTTATGGCAGAGTGCTGCGAAGCTGCATCCAAGTGAGATACCATCGAAGTGAAATTTGGGCATTTCAATTTGAGATTAGTGGTTCTTTGTCTTTATCAATTGTTTGGGTATGTGGGATTATTTAAATGTAATACTGTATTAACATTTAATGGAACCTAATCAGCAACTGACTGACCAAATTGCAATTTTTGATGCTGGAAGAAGTAGAATATGGTATGTTGTCATTCTTATTTAAAATAAAAATGATGTTTTTTAAAGATTTTGATCATATCATCACAGAAAGTATTATTTATAGCCATAATTGATTTTTTTTTTCTGTTGAAATGTCAAGTTTTGTTATTTTTTGGAATTATTACATGCAAGTAATAAAAATGAGATTGATTTGGTACAGTCAACGCCTATATTTACATACATAAAAAACTGTGGGTTTTTTAGGCTTCCAGTAGCTGAGACCACAGAATGGAAAAAGTCCTGATTGAAATAGCCACATAAGAAGCTGCAATCTGCTTATTCTGTAGTGAAGTACTAATATTTTATTGATCTATGTCTGTCCATGTCACTGTGGTGTAAATGGACAATGAGAAGAATCGTTTAAATGAGTATCCTCAAATGAAAACCCTTTACTTTCAATACTAAAGGATAACAACATCTGCTATATGTATTGTATCAATATTTGTCTGCTTCTATGATGTGTTTAAGAAGATTAGGGTACAGAGTAGCATTTTCTTTATTTGATGACAAGAAAGGACAATGTTCTACTTCCCTTTCTCTTCCAAATTTAGAAAGATTCCAGTATTCCAACTGTGCCGTCAGTTTATTTGTCTTTCAAATTTAACTCACTTTTGAACTATACACATTTTTTAATTTTATATATTTAATAACAACACCTTAAAATACCAAATACCTTACTGTTCACTGTTTTCATATAGGCATGATTTTTGGATGTATCCCTCAATTGCATCTTGGTTTGTATTATTCATACAAAATGAATGACTTATTAACTTGGACAAATATAAACTTGATAATAAAATTGTACAGGATGAATTTACAAAGAATTGAAGAATGTCCCAGGATTTACTGCCATAAACATTGTTTATGAAAATGTCCAAGAAGTGCAAAGTATTTTTCAGTTACTTTGGGAGAGAAATTGCTGCTCTAAGGAGCTTTTAATCAAAAGCACACAGATGCAGAACATGCCTTAAGTTTTGCTGCTGACTTTAGTAGCATATGCCATGGTAGGTACGTTGTGCAGCAGGATCTGGAATAATGTAGCTGTATTAGCATGAGGGGGCAGACGAGTGGAGAGCTGCACTAGCAGAACTGCGAGTGCTTGCAGCGCTCAAGCTACTTGTGTGTCAGCATAGCCCCTCAGTGCATAAAAACACAGCTGTTGTTGGTAAGTCATGAAGTTTCGTTATGATGTGGGAATTTACTCCCTAAATACCGAACTGCTGTGTTGGCCGATTGTGTTAAGGACAAGAGAATGAGGTGTGAACAGGACAAAGGGATACACCTTGAAAGAGGAGGATGGCTGCAACACTATGATGGATAGTAGTGATGACCATGGCAAACTGAAGGTAAGTGGTAAGGGATGAAAAAGGTTTCAATTTCAGATTTGATGCTGGAATGGATTTGGACAAAGTCAAAGGTTTTGGCTTGTTTTTCTTCCAGTATTTTTATCAGCTCTTCTGTACATTCCTTTTCCTTAATTTACATGGCTGTTTCCAGTGAGATTAAGTTGAATAAACTACTTATGAAACTTGTGTTGCCATGTTCACTGGCTTGATGTTAGCATTTGAGCATCAGTTTGGATAGTTCTTCAGTGTTAGTGTTGCCATGTGTAAGCAGTCTGTTACGAAACTTTACTGAACTTCCTTGGAGCCTAACTATATGAAAGCTGCTGCACATGTAGAAAGTAAAAAAAAAAAAAAAAAAAAAAAAATCATTTTGTATCTGTTTTATATAAGTAGACAAGAAGTCACTCCCTGTGTGTCTGATTGCAATTAAAATGTAGCATGTAGGTTGCAGAACTGTTTGTGTCATCAAGTTTTTCCTGAATGTTCTCTCTTCAGAGCTATTCTGTGTTCAGAATTATTTGCCTTATAATTTATTCTCTAATGTATACAAGACTGAGTTAGTGGAGTATACATTAATGGAACAGGATTTTGATATATTTTAAATATAGAAAGGTTTGTTTTGTCTTACAGGTGTTTGTTACTTTACAAATGGATTTTATAGACAAACCCATATTGTAGTTTTTATTGTTAATTGCATAAATTTAAGAGATTTTTATTTTCATATGTGTGATTTTAGTACTTATTAATCATCAATATACAACTCTGTTAAAGAAAATACAGAAATGTGAAAGTCTATAATTTGCTACCGGTCATGGTCTGTGCAGTTTCATACTTTCACAGAGACAGTAAGAAAACATAAACTTCAGTGAATTGCTGAATTTTTAAAATAATACACTTTATAGCACAATAAGCCTTATGCAAATAAAAGAACCTGACAAACTTTCAAGTATTTTTACTACAACATTTTGTTTAAAAAACCTTTCCCCTGTGTCTTTCTATTGGTTTTGTGTTGTCCATGAAATAGGAGTAAGGGTTGTTCCACAAAATATCTCTTGGCTATTAAATTCTGAAGTAAGAGCAGTTATACCTGCCAGACTCCTACTATGTGGGCTAATCATAGTAACTTTTGCATCTGGATTCACTAGCTGCTGGACCTTTATGCTATAGGCATTATGAAACAAAAGAATGAAAAGATTGTTTCTGACACCATAAAAATTACTAAATATAATATCAATTAGTTGATTTTTATTTTCATGCTACATAACTTCCTCCTTCTAACAGGAAGTGTGATATAAAAATTAGTTCCAATTACTACCACTGGGACTGAAGTCCGTAGTAAAGTTTAATGTTAAAATTTGTCATATGCCAGCAAACTGCTAATTATTCTATTACCGTTATGTGAATGCAATCGTAGAAAAAAAGATCATGATACAGCATGAGCTTATTTTTTAGTCTTCCCCATTATGTGCTCTGTGCTCACTTAGCAAGTATAATAACCTAAAATTGGGGTATAGAGCATTTATTTTAAATGCCAACGCTCTTCTTTTTCACAGCATTTGTTGATACACTATGAATTATTTCAGGTTTCTGTTCTTGCTTTTCAGGACTCACATCATACTATTAGAGATCAGTCACAGAATCACAGAATGGTTAAGGTTGGAAGTCTGACTCCCAATATTTACCCTCAGTGGTGCTTGCATATTTACCCTCAGTCCTGCTCCCCGCCTTAGGAACCCTCGTTCCTAATCCAGATGTTTACCCTCACTCCTACTCCTGATATTTAGTGTCTGTGGTACTTCAATGTTTACTYTCAGTCCTGCTCCCCCTGTTTAGCCTCAGTGGTACTTCCATGTTTCCTCTTAATCCTGCTCCCAACATATATCCCCAGTGGTACTTCTGTGTTTACCCTCAGTGGTATTTCCATGTTTACCCTTAATCCTACTCCTACTGTCTACCCTCAGTGGTACTTCTGTGTTTACCCTCAGTCCTACTCCTCCTGTTTATGCTCAGAGGTGTTTCCATGTTTAACCTCACTGCTACYCCCCTGGATTACCCTCAKTCCTACTCCCRATCTTTACCCTCAGTGGTACTTTGGTGTTTACCCTCAGTCCTACTCCTCTGTTTATCCCTTCCTCTCCTCAGGTATTTGTACACGTTGATAAGATCCCCTCTCAGCCTTCTCTTCTCCAGGCAAACCAGGCCCAACTCAGTTGTTCCTCATATGATAGATGTTCCAGTCCCCGGCTCTTCTCTCTTGCCCTTTTTGAAGGCTGGMGAGATGTTGGTTTCTTCCAGTCCTCTGGCACCTCACCTGCTCTCCAGGACCTCTCAAAGATGATGGAGAGCAGCTGAGCAATAACCTCGGCCWATTCCCTCAGAACTCTTGGGTGCTTCCCGTCCAGGCCCATAGATTTATGGGTGGCCAGCGTGCCTAAGTAATCCCTAACACAATCCTCCTCAACCAGTCTCCTAGGATGACCTCCTCCCATCTATCTTTCTTTTACCTGGGCTCTATAGTTCTTGGGGACTAGCCTTAGCAATAAAGACAGAGGCAAAGAAGGCATTTAGTAACTCTGCCTTCTCTGCATCCTCTGTCATCAAGGCAGCCTCCCCATTCAACAGTGGGCTAACATTTTCCCTACTCTTCCTCTTGCTGCTGATATATTTATAGAAGCCCTTCCTGCTGTCTCTGACATGCCTTGCTAACTCTAATGCCAGACGGGCCTTGGCCTTCCTCTTGGCATTACTACATTCTCTGACAAGGTGCCTATATTCTTCCCATGTAGCCYGGCCCTTCTTCCRCATGAAATATACTCTTTCTGTCCTTAAATTTACCCAACAGTTCCTTGCCCATCCATACGGGTCTYCTGCCCCTCTTACTTGACTTCTCCCTTGTAGGAATGCACCCAGCTTGAGCTTGGAGGAAATGGTGCTTGAATATTAGCCAGCTCTCCTGGACCCCCTTTTCTTCTAGAACCCTGACCCAGGGGACTGCTCCAAAGAGCTTCCTGAAGAGGTCAAAGTTGTCTCTCTTCAAGTCCAGGGCTGTAATCCTATTTCTAGCCCAGCTTTCTTCACACAGGATTGTGAATTCCAGTAAGTTGTGATCACAGCAGCCAAGACTTCCCAGAACCCTCACAGGGTTCCCAGAACCCTCACATAGTGGACYTGTGGGCCCACTGGTGAACAGGGTGGGTACCCTGGTTACGAAAAACACGGAGAAAGCAGAGCTGCTGAATGCCACCTTTGCTTTGGTGTTTGTCAGGGGCAGCCCTCTAGAATCTCAGGCCCTAGGGACAAGAGAGCTGGGGAGAGGAAGGCTTGCCCTGGGTAGAGGAAGAGTGGGTCAGAGAGCATCTAAGGAAACTCAACACCCACAAATCCATGGGCCCTGATGGGATGCACCCCAGAGTGCTGCGTGAAGTGGCGGATGTCATAGCCAAGCCACTCGCTTGAGAGCCGTCCTGGAGAACAGGGGAGGTGCCAGAGGACTAGAAGAAAGCCAACATCAGTCCGGTCTTCAAAAAGGGCAAGAAGGAGGACCTGGGCAACTACAGGCCGGTGAGTCTCACCTCCATCCCCGGAAAAGTGATGGAACAGCTCATCCTGGCTGCTGTCTCCAGACAYGCAGAGGAGAAGAAGGTGCTCAGGAGTAGCCAGCATGGATTCACCAAGGGGAAATCATGCTTAACTAACCTGATCACCTTTTACAAAGGAGTGACTAGCTGGATAGATGAGGGCAGAGCGGTGGGTGTCATCTATCTGGACTTCAGCAAGGCTTTTGACACCATCCCTCACAGCATCCTCCTGGACAAGCTCCGAAGGTGTGGGATAGATGAGCGGATGGGGAGGTGGATTAGGAATTGGCTCAGTGGCAGGGTGCAGAGAGTGATAGTCAGTGGCGCGGAGTCCAGTTGGAGACCTGTAGTTAGCGGTGTCCCCCAGGGGTCGGTCCTYGGTCCGGTCCTGTTCAACTTATTCATTAATGACCTGGATGAAGGGCTGGAGTGCTCCCTCAGCAAGTTTGCTGATGATACCAAACTGGGAGGAGTAGCTGATAGCCCTGAGGGCTGTGCTGCCATCCAGAGGGACCTGGACAGACTGGAGAACTGGGCCAGTGCAACAAGGGCAAGTGCAGGGTCCTGCACTTGGGGAGGAATAACCCCGGACACCAGTACAGATTAGGGGTGGACCTGCTGGAGAGCAGCCCCGCAGAGRGGGACCTGGGTGTCATGGTGGACAAGATGACCATGAGGCAGCAGTGTGCCCTGGTGGCCAAGAAGGCCAACGAGATCCTGGGTTGCATTAAGAAGAGCGTCTCCAGCAGGTCAAGGGAAGTGATCGTCTCCCTATACACAGCCCTGGTAAGGCCACGTCTGGAGTACTGTGTCCAGTTCTGGGCTCCCCAGTACAAGAGGGATGTGGAGCTGCTGGAGAGAGTCCAGCRCAGGGCTACGAGGATGATCAGGGGCCTGGAACATCTRCCMTATGARCAAAGGCTGAGAGAGCTGGGTCTGTTCAGCCTGGAGAAGAGGAGGCTGAGGGGGGACCTGATCAGTGTCTATAAATACCTCAAGGGAGGCAGTGAGGAGGAGGGGGCTGGCCTCTTTTCAGTGGTGGACAGCTATAGGGCTAGAGGAAATGGCCACAAGCTGAGGCACCAAAAGTTCCACAGGAACTTAAGGAAACATTTCTTGACAGTGAGGGTGACAGAGCCCTGGAACAGGCTGCCCAGGGAGGTTGTGGAATCTCCTTCTCTGGACATCTTTAAAACCCGCTTGGATGCAGCCCTGTGCCAYGTGCTCTAGGTGACCCTGCGTGAGCAGGGGGGTTGGACTGCATGACCTCTGAGGTCCCTTCCAACCTTWAGCATTCTGTGATTCTAAGATTCTATGATTCTATGATACTGTTAGAAGATAGAAATAGCAACTCTACTGA